GGTAGAGAATACGGTCCCAAGGCCTCATTTTCCTATGAAATACCTCTTGGTGTTTTGGTCATTTTTAACCCATTATTTTTTTTAATAGCTCATCAATAAATAGAGGCCGCAAAAAAAGTGATAAGCCAGTTTGACCCTACGCTTAACAAGTAGATTTTTAATTTTTCAAAATACTTCTTCGGTGCAATTGGCGGTGAAAATTAAGAGCATAACGGTGAACTTCGGCCTGACAATTAGTCAAAAAATTTTTCACTCGCTCATTTTGGCCAAAATTTAATTCTTGTAAAGTATTAGTAATTATTTTGGCGGTTTGGTGTTTTTCGTCTTTGGCAAGGCCAATAATAGGAATTTCAAATGCTAATTCCCTTAAAACTTGCTGAACGGATTTAACTTGTTCCTTTCCTCCGTCTACTATTATTAAGTCTGGTTTTTTGCCGGAGGAATATTTTTGAAAATGAATACGACAGGCCTTTTTTATTCGGGCTAAATCGCTTGCTGGTTCGGTTGACGGATTCGCCAGCACTGAATTATTTTCCACCTCATTTTCTAACTTATATAATTTACTTTGGCTTGGATTTTTTTCTCCATTAATAAAAGTCAAAAAACCGGCTACTATATCTTGTTTGTAGAGGTTAGAAATATCCAAGCACTCAATATAATTTAGGGGTTGAATGGATAAAAAATTGCCTATTTCAGTTAATACTTGCCTTTTGTTGACTTGTTGAAACTCATTTCAATAATTTTTTTGTCAAACTTGCTGGGCATTTTGTTGGGCGAGATTAATCACTTCTTTTTTGCGGCCGCGTTGGGGTGATTTACAAACAAACCCCAATTCCTCTCCCAATAATTTAATTTCCGGCAATTTTTTTGCCGTATAAAGCACGGCAGGGGGCAAATTATTTTGGTAAAATTGATAGAGATAAGTTTCGGTAATTTCGGCAGCGTTATTCCAAGCGGGAAAGGCCGCTTCATCAGTAGCCACCAATTTTCCATAACGATAAATGAGGAGACAAAAGGCTATCACGTTTTCTTGCTCGTAAACACCTAAAAAATCGCTATTTTCCTCTCGTAAAAATTCAATGTTTTGCTGACTAGTAAAAAAATCGATATTATCCAGGATTTTTTTTTCTTTTTGGGCGATTTCAAAGGCTAAATTGACAATATTTTTTCGCAAAGAATCTTTAATTTTTTTCTTAATTTCTTGGGTTTGGCCGCGAAAAAATTTTCGGACTGCTTTTTTAATATTTTCGTAGTAGGATTTATTGACCGTTTGTCAACAATGGCCCGAACACTGGTTAATTGTGTAATAGAAACAGGGCTTTCCTAAATTACCTTTGCATTTGGCGAGGGGGAGTAATCTTTCTAGTAATTGTAATATTTCACGGGCTTTGGTGCCGTCGGGAAAGGGACCGAAATATTCGCTGGGGCTAGCGGAGGAAGTGTTAATGTTTATTTTCCGCACCACTTTATAACGAGGATTTTCGCCGGCCGTAATCTCTAAATAAGGATAATAATGACTATCTTTGAGGAGAACATTAAAACGGGGTTGGTATTTTTTAATCAGATTTTGCTCTAAAATTAGGGCTTCTTTGACATTATTAGTGATAATGGTGTTAAAACTATGGATTTGTTGATAAAAACAATTTTCTTGTGGGTTGAGAAAATAACTACTAATTCTCTTTTTTAGATTTTGGGCTTTGCCAACATAAATTATGGTTCCGGTTTTATCTTTAAATAGATAACAACCGGGTTGGTGGGGTATTTTTTGAAAAAGGGATTTGTTGTTTGGCGTGGAGGGCATTTTTTTTATTTTTTGGGTGGAATATGAGGATTTTTGTTGTGTAAGTCATTAAAAATGTCGTGGCACTTATAATAATTTCTCATTAAATTTTCGGTCAAATTCATTTTCCTCCATCTTATTGTAAAACGGCATTCCTCAAACTTTATATTCTTGGTCTTCTCATAATTGTTCTATTCGGTGTTTTTTTTTTAATGAGAGTAGAAATTCTTCTTTTCAGAGTTCTTTTTCTCGAAGATACTTGCCTTTTGGCTCGATAAATACTTGGTAATATAGATTTTTGGAGGGCGATTTTTGCCGCAAAAATAGCACATAATCGGGTTCTAGAGGTTTCCCGTCTTCAAAATTATAAAGTTTGAAAAAGCGTTCATTCCGGACCAAGTAAATTTGCTCGTATTTTTCTTGAAGTTTGTCATATATTCTATTAATGTATTTCACAAAATGTTTTTCTTCGTAAGTTCCAAAGCAATCATCAAAAATGTGTCAAGGTTTATCGTTGAGATTCAGGGGAATTTTTGTTTCAATGCCGCCCATTGATTTTCCCGACTCTTTGTCCCCGCTTTCATTGAGAACAAAATTAAGTTCTTTATCGCTAATTTTTTCTTTTAACAGGTTGGATTTGAATTCTTTACTTCCTCTAAACTCGGAACTGCTGGAAGTTAGACCAGAAGCGATTTGTCCGACAATTTTTACTAAAACGGCCAATTCGGCCTCCGGATTTAATTTTTCCAGTTGCGAGGCCAGACCGGAAACGGTTATTTTTACTTCTCGCAAATATTCTTTTTTTTCAATAAAATCCTCTAATTTTTCCAAATGAGGAAACCATTTTTTCAGATTTAAAAATGAATAAAATTCAAATTTGTAAAGGGCTTTTTTTACAGTTTGCAGCCTTAGACTTTTTATTCGAAAATCTTTTTTCTTGGTTTCAATATTTTCCTTAATTTGACTCTCAAAAAGGTCTCGGGAAAGACTAATATTTGTTCGGAGAAATGCTTCGTAAGGATAATCTCGGATTGTAGATGGTAATTCAAAAACATCATTTCGGGGATATTTTTCTAGTTGATTGAGAAACAAAAGTCCCGATTGGTAAAATTCAGTATTTTTAAATTCCTTTTTAATGGCAAGTTTTTTTTTGGTGGTATTATCCGGAATAATTCCCGTTTTCACCAGAGCCGAAGTTAATTCTTGGATATAGCGAGGATTGTAATTGCTATGATAGTATAATTCCTCGCAGATTCGCATTTCATTTTGAATATCATGGTCGAATTTTCGTTGACAAGGATCGTCAGTCTCGTTAATTTTAAAGGGGCAATATCTCGCTCCGCGTCCGATTAATTGAGCCTCTCGGATGGTGGTTGGTCCTGGAATATTATTTTTGGCATCCCGAGTGTCATACAAACGAACGATATCAAAAAGATTAAGCACATCCCAGCCTTCGTTAAGTTTATCCACCGCAAAAATGGCCCGGTATTCATTTTTAGGGTCCTCCAAAGTATTTACGGCTAATTGATTTTTTTCACTTTCGTTTTGACTGTTTACTGAAAGCGTTTTTTCCGCTGAAAAATCTTCTTGTAGTTCAGCAGCCAGGTTATCTAATGAGATATTATTACTAGCAAAATATTCGAAAGATTTTATTAAAGATTCGTCTTTGGAATTGGTTTTAATTTCTTTAAGTTTATCACTGGTAAGAGTTGCTATGTCTCTTATAAATTGGGCTTGAAATTCTTCGCTCTCTTTGATGGTTTTGGATTTAAATAAAATAACCGGTTTTATTATGTGGCCGTTTTTTTCAAATATTTTGCGACGATATTGGTTAAGCAATACCGCTTGGAGAGCCCGATCAAAAGGTTCGGCATCTGCTTGTAATACTCTTATTTCTTTGGAGTATCCACCGAGGCGAAAGTCTTTTAGAGAGTAGTCAAAAATGAGGCGAGGGGCGTATTTATTTAAAATGCAAGGATTGCTGCGGTCTATTGTGGCCGTGAATTCCAAAAGAACATTTTGCGAATTAGCCTCAAATATTTTGTTGACCGTATTTTCCCAAGAGTTTATTTCTGATTTTTCTTCTTTGGAAAGTTGGGCTCCGGATTTAGTTTCCACATTGATATGATGGGCCTCGTCCGAAATAAGCACAATTTTTTGCTCTTGAAAGTCCTCATAAGTTATACTATTTTCACGGGGAATGTTTAAGCGAGAATGAAGTCCCTGAATAGTTTCAAAACAGATATTAATGTTGTCATTATCAGTAGTCTGAAAATTGTCTACTTCCCGCAGAGTAATTTTTTTCTCCTGCCAAGTAAGAGATTTATTGAAAAGATATTTGATTGAAGTGTCATTCAAAAAATTGTCGCGGGTTTTGTCAATTACATTTCGGCTGTTGACAAAAAAGAGAAAATTACGATAGCCTTGTTGGTATAAATACAAAATTAATCCGGTCATCATTAAAGTTTTGCCGCTGCCGGTTGCCATTAAAAATAGAAGTTGGCGTGGATTAAAATTAAATTTTTCACTTTCTCAATAATTAATGAAATAGCGAAAAGCATTTTTTTGATAAGGGCGAAGTTGAAATTTGGAATTGAGATTCTCAGTTATTATGGCTGGAAGTGGGGTGGCTCCTATTCTCTCGGTTCCAAAATATTCAATTAATTTTTGTTGTAAAGATTTATTGTTTTCATTCATGATATTTTATTCTCAATCAAAAACTATTTTTAAGGTTTCTTTTTTATTTTGTTTTTTCATAGTCTTCTAAAATGGCATTAATAGTGTATTCAGGGTCCTCTGCCAAATCCTTTTTATTATATGTAATCAGTGCCTTTCAAAGGGCTCATCCTCTTGCTCTGTTCCAAGTATTTTTATCACACCCCATTTCTTCAAAAAACGTTTTTCTGCTCTCTTTATCAAAAAAAGTCCATGCTATAGCATAATCGCAAGATGGGTCTCCGACTCCCAGCATTCCAAAATCAATAACTCCGCAAAGTTTTCCGTTTTTCACGAGAAGATTTCCAACGGCAATATCGCCGTGAACCCAAACATTTTCTTTTTTTCATTTTGACTCCAATGCTATTCGTCAAATACTATTTAACTTGTCGGTTGGTAGCACTGATTTAAGTTTTTTGAGGGCTATTTGTGTTTCCTCATGGTAAACAGACAAATCTCCGCCTCGATAAAAATTATGTTTGCCAGCAACGGGTCCATTGGAAGCGTCAATTGCTTGAAATTCTTTCAAAAATCCTGCCAAATTAGCAGCAAATTGCTTCAAGTCAGTAATGTTTTTATAATTTGCCGTATCTCCTTCAATTCATTGATTTATCGACCATGGAAAAGGATAGTCTGTCGTTGGTTGCCCTTTCGCTAATGGAGTAGGGATTGGCAAAGAAAGATATGGATTTAATTTTGGCAACCAAAATAATTCTTTTTCAACTTGCGAAACATACTCTTTTCCACTCGGCAATCGGACAGTCATTTTATCGCCTAAACAGAATGTTCTGTTGTCATGCCCGCTTTTTTCTACTTGATAAATTGATAATTGGGAATACTCGGGTAACTGGTTCGTAATTAATTTTTGAACCAACTCTTTATTTAATTGTTTCTCCATAACTAGCAAAAATACTTTCTTTTTGGTTAGTTTTTATTGATTGATAAACTTCATAGTTAATATTTTCCTTCCAAACTTTCTAATCTGCTTAATTTATAAATAAAAGG